ACAAACTGTAGTCAAACAAAAGATCTGCTCACCGCTCTGGTAGCTCCCAGCTATTCTTTTATTTAACGGAGTAACATTTAACTGATTTAGTAAATCACTAAACAACAAACCCAGCGATGCAAAATAAATCTCTAATAGCTTTTTCTTTACCACTCTTTATGTTTTCTAGTTCAACTGCATTAAAGTAAAAGTGGCTCAGAGTTGCAACATGCATTAGTCAGTCTCCCACAATGCCTGTAGGCACGACTCGTCCAGTATAGGCATGATGTGCTGCTTTGTTTCTGTCTCTCTTTCTGAGATTATGGTCTTTTTTGCAGTTTGTAATTGATGACTGTCGATATGACGGTCAAATTCAATTGCTTTTGCAGCACAGTTTTCAGTGGTTATCTTGTTTAGCATTAGGAATTGTAGAAATTGTACTTTTCATCAGCTTCCGTCATAAAGATTTGTGGAGTCGAAGAACATGTCACATATTGCATTGATAGTGTTCTGGAAAAATGTTCATTTCAAAATACCTGTTTTGTTTTTCCCTAATTAGTCAAATCATTTCATGCATGATTTCTATGGTAAAAGGAAGTAAAGAATTAAAGGTTAAAATAAGAAGCTTGTCTGTTAAGAATCATTTAGTACCAGTTTTCATCGGTGTTTCAGTGGCTTGGAAAATATGAGTTGTGTCCGATTTCTTTTATTTATTTATTTTTTTACATTCCAAATTTCCACAGTGTAAAATGAGTTATTTCATGTTACCAGTCAAAACACAGAGCGTTGTAGGCCAATGCCATATAAGGAGTCCAACTCCAGAATGTAAGCTCCGAGCCAGTTTCATGTTTTTTTCCTTAATTACTTAAACTGACACAGCTTGAAAATATGTAGCATAGAACACAGTTGTATTTTTGATCCAAGGTGAAAGGCAGCCATTTGGCAGTCAGTTACTAATTCAGCCGAATCTAGAGGGAGATTCTTAAAGCCTTCTGCATATTCCATTAAGCTGCTCATTGTTATTCTATACCTGATTTTAATTAGGAATAGTAGGAACCCAACTGTGTGATTTAAGTGTATGTGTGTGTGTGTGTGGATGTGCCTGTGCAGTTTCGCTCTGAGGCGGGGTAGACGGTCGTTACGCCTGTTCGTAGCTCTCTGCAGCGCAGTTCTACTCTGCTAATCTCCATCCATTGATGGACACATTCATTCATTAGCATTCATATGATTATAAGCTCTGCTGGCAAAGCCAAGCAGATGATGTAGGGTTTGGTGAATCTAACGAACCAGACTTCACAAAGGAGGAATTTGGTGTTTTATTTTTTTATGAAAATGCTGCTTGGAGGCGCTCTAGTACTCTTATTCCTACAAAGACAATGCTTTTCATTAGCATAAAACTCTTTCCATGCATGTGTTTTGACCACTGAGACATTATTGCTCCACTGGAGTCATTTGGCCTCATCACACTCTGGTAATAAGAGTGGAGATTGGCAGTACAGCACTTCTGTTCGATAGATGGTGCTGAGCAAGGGTGTGGAAAATGAAGCTCCAACCCAGTCGATTTAAATGGAGAATTGTGATTAATTGGAATCGATAGCTTTAGCATCAACACTCACTACTTCCCATCTACAGTGCCCTGCCTTCGCCCACACTTAATGTACTTTAGCTGGTGCCGTAACACACATGCATATTGGAGACATCATAACGTGAAGCGTCCATTTCATTATCACGCGCTGTTACCAAATGGCAGGGCTACATCTAAAGTGAGTTAGGATCCCCATCAACACTCATTCACGCACAAACACACACACACACACACACACACACACACACCTTGAAGACACAGCAAAGTGATGAACTCAGTGTGGAGAGATGTGATGAGGTGAGAGGAACAAAGCATTAGTCGATTGAGAGGTGGAAGAAGAGCAGAGTCAGTGCAGACGGAGTCAGAAAGTGCTCACAACAATCTGCACGCAGGTTGTGAGGGCGCGACGTTCTCTCCCCTCTCTGCAAAGGTTCAGTCTTCGTGGAGGCATAATTTCTTGTTGTGTCTGCAGATGAATTTCAGGGCTCTCTCTCTCTCTCTCTCTCTCTCTCTCTCTCTCTCTCTCCTCTGTGTCCTATGTGGGCCAAATGTCAAGTCTCAAGCCATTACACAAGGTTGCGGGTGTAGCTCTAGCTTTTAGAGCCGGGCTGCATTAACTCGGGGCCATTGTCTTCGACCTCATCTTCTGAAATGTCATTGCTCCGTGGGCCGGAGGATTTCCCTTCCTGTGAAGAGGGAGCACTGTCTAAAGTTTTAGTTAAAGCCGGTCCACGCCTCTAGCTTTTCTTTATCAGATTGGTACAGTTAGGCAGTGAGCCGCGACAGATATGCTGTTTGATCTCTGAAGTAGCTACAAGTGTTTATTGTGCCTCGTGGATACATGAAGATATGAGTGCTGAATCGTGCGGTATCTTGAGTGCCGTGTGAGCTAATGCCATTTTGTGTGTGTAAATGTAAGATTAGACAAACATCAGCTTTCCTCTATGCCTTTTATTCACTATCAGCCATCAGCCACCCCGTATTGTCCACTTTGAGAATTAACATTTATTAATTTGTGGCACACAAACCCTTGAGTGCCAAGCAAAATAAAACGGATACTCAGGACCACTCCTCTGAAACTCAGATACACACTAAGATGAACAGTTGTGCACTCACTAGAGTAACATCAAGCCCTCTTAAAGCATTGCCTTCTTTTATAAATCAATTTTGTTGATATCATATTGATACTGAAATTAGTCATTACAAGTGGAAAGACACAAGAGCTTCTGTATTAGCTTATAATTTACAGTGTAAAAAGAACATGACATTCGTATTCAGAGGTTTCATTATTACAGTCAATATTAACACCACTAATATGTAATTGACTATAGCTGCATAACCTGCAATGAAATGTCTTTCCTTTTTCTTTATAAATCAAATTTTCACTGAAAGCCTGATTAAAAAAAAAAATGTCCCAGAATCCCCCACCTAACTTTCGTCAGACTGATTACTCACACTACACTACAGCTGTTAATCATAAAAACAGTATTTGATTCAGTGCAGAGCTTCAGTGGCTCTAATCTAAATAATTCAGCTGAGGCTTTTTCTTTTCTACCTTGCGATGATTATACAGTTGGTGATTGGCAGCCTTGATACAAAAATATCAGCAGTGGCATCAGTTAAGCCCATATTAGCTTAACCATTGTGCTGAGATAGAAAGCTGCGTGTGTCGGCCCGGGCCAAGAGGGGAGCCTGTAGCTGTTGGGGCCCTTATCTGAAAGTGTGATTTACCCTGGAGCCACTCTTGGCAGGGGATTTGAAGAGCTGTCTGCAGGTGAGAGGGGGGCAGAGATGCCAAATCATCACTGTGCATGTCTTCAGCATCACTTCCTGCGTAAGAGCACAGTTACAGAAGACACCTTACGTTCATGAATAGATAAATGTAAACTGGAACCGGCCTCTTTCTTTTATCCTTAGTCTTAGTTTTTATCCATTCATTCCTCACACACACACACACACACACACACACACACACACACACACACACACAGACTACCAAGGAGACAACCACAGTCAGCCCAGAAACTCAAGAGGCCCTCCATGCTGTGTAATAACACAGCATGATATTCTTTTTTATTGTAGATGGAGTGGCCTTTTACTTTTTAAAAGCAACTCTTCCTTCTTCACTAATAAACCCAAGAATACCATTTGCAGTTTACACATTGTAAGTTCTTTTTAATTGAAGCTATTGTGTGCGATTGTCTCAAACGTGACCCGTGAGTGTTGGTTTCAGATCAATGGCTTCAAACACAGGAAATAATTATTTTGCGTTGAGATGAAAGTCGGGGTGCAGGAGCACAAACAGCCTGTGGATCCAGCCTTTTTTAATTAGTGCTGTGTGTCTCCTGCTCTCCGTGGCAAATTAACATCCACCATAGAGGATAAGTGATTGTGCTACACAACTGTGTGTGGTTGGTTGTGTTTCAGGATTTGTGTGTGCAAGAGGTCGGGGGTGTTGGGTAGGGGGTAGGGGGTGGGGCGGTGGGGTGGCAGATTTTGGCCTCTTCCACTCCTGAGAATCTATCATAAACGTAAGACTAAACCAAATCTATATCTTTGAAAGTGTTTCAGACAGTTTGAAACACTTTTTTATCCGTCTGTTTTCCCGTTCTGGCGCAGAAAAAGTATGACTCACTTCCAAATGTTTTGAAAATATATATAGTTGAAAGTAGAATAAGTGAAATTGAATAAATTTAAAGCAAAACTATTTTCTCAAAGCCAAATCAGTCAAGGTGCCTTCACTGCAGCTAATCTGCAAAGGCTGGATTTTCACAAAAGCAGTCATTTTAAATTCAGCTAATTTCAAAATGTCTCCATTAAAGCCCACAAAAACGTCAGTATTTCCTCACAAGATTAAATAGTGATGACTGAGCTGCCGTCAAAGTAATAAGAAAAAATGTAGGTATTATTTATCAAGAATTCACATAAAAAAAAAAAACTAATAAATAAAAACTTATAAAACTAATCTGCTTCATCAGGACTGTGTGGGTGTGGTTTGAATAGTTTGACAGCGAAGAAAAGCATCACAAGCTGATTCAGACTCTAATTCAAATGTTGCTAAGTCTTGACGGTGGGTGCACAGGAGACGGTGGGTGCACAGGAGACGGTGGGTGCACAGGAGTACAGCACTGCGCAAAAGTTTAAGCCAATAAAAGTAAAGTGAGGATGTGTTCAGAAATAATGTTCATGAATAGTTTTTATTTATCAATTAACTTCACTCGAAGTGCAGTAAGCAGGAAAACACACATCCAATTGATGTTTGGTGTGACCATCCTTTGCCTTTAAAGCAGCACCAGTAGCATCTTGTTGAAGAACTAGACACAGCTCTTTAGGATTTTAGGATTTTTTTTCTTCAGTACAGGTCAGATCATTTGTTCCACGGCTGATGTTGAGGTGATTGCTGGTTTTACATCATTCCCTTGTCTTCATCTTTCAGGGATGCCCAGGTTTGCCAGCCAGCCAGCACCGACCACTGTGCGTCTAGGGGACAGTCAGGTGGTGGCGTGTGAGGTCAACTCGGATCTGGTGCCCTTCACCCGGTGGGAGAAAGACCGTCAGCCACTGGAGCCGAGCGCCAGGTTGGTCCAGCTGCCGAGCGGAGCCCTGGTGATCAGCAACGCCTCGGAGGCCGACGCTGGCCTCTACCGCTGTATGGTGGAAAACGTGGGCTCGTCCAAGTCCAGCGACGAGGCCCAGCTCCAGATACTGCCAGGTAACTCGAGGAAAATAAAGTCATGCCAGACAGCAAGTCAGAGGTTGTTAGAATGTGTAGTCATAGTTTCTGTCACAAACTGATGATTTCAGATAATAATGAAAACATTTATCCTGCCTGTCCTCAGTTGTTACCTGTTTATCAAACATTTCTGTATGTTTTAGCTTCTAGGCTGTTGTAGAACATCTTGTGTGGTAAATTGAAATCAATATATCATTCAGAGAAGATATTAGAGGTCATAAATCAGACTGCAACAAGAAGTCTTTATTTCTGGATGTGTCAACCATGGAAATTGATAGAAATTTTGTTTGGATGCTACCAGATGTAATAGTGTTAGAAATACATTCATAGTTATTTGGATTCTTTAAAGTCATCAATCAACTTGAGAATAAAGTAACTTGTTTTTGGAGAGAGAGAGACTTTGAGAGGTGAAAATGGTAGAAGAATGAAAATGATTTCATACATGTCTGTTTTTCAGGTAAAATCTTGTTTTAAGCTTCATGAAATTAAGATCTAAGCTAAACTCATAACAGGATGATTAGAAGATGACACTGTCGTGTATGTCGGGGTCACACATGTCCTGGTTATTGCAGGATACCACTCAGGCAGTTAGTTGCAGCTGGAGTTATATTGGGTTACTTTGAACTCCTAAAGAGCCGAGACTTCAGCTGTCTCAGACATCAACATGGACATTCTTCATCTGACCATTCTTGGTTTGGGTGTCAGGAGCGACTGCCCTTCAGACATGATTTCTATTGAAGTTTTTAAGACGGACGACACCCAAATGAAGCTCCGCTTCATTGACTCACCCCAACCTTAACCTCGGCCTTAACCCTGACCTTTTTCTCTCCCATCTAAGAAACTGGAGAAGAGAGGAAGCTGGAGTTCCTGGTGCAGCCCGTGTCTGTGACCAAGGTGGTGGGCGCCAGTGTGCTGCTGCCCTGTGTGGTCGCTGGTTATCCTGCACCGCATGTCCGTTGGATGTTTGGAGACAAGCTGCTACAAGAAAGGTATGAACATGCACCTTTTTGATCTGTTTGAGGTACTACAGAAGCCTTAGATGCTGCAAATATACTTGAGGCATATTTCTGTTTTAAATCATGTAGAAACAAGTGTGTGAAACCCTTTTCAAACCCTTCTTTCAAAATCGGCTTTACACATCAAAGTTGCCATAAGTTAGTCTAAAGCTATACACTGCTGTGTTCAGTGTTCCCTGGCTTTCACACACTCAAAGCCTTCATTGAGAAGCAACACAGACTGTAATGTACTGCTCCTTTGTACCTGGTGCCTCTGGCCTCCAAAAGCTAACCTCTTAGTCCTGGCGCCTGCTCCCTAAGGTGTTAATGCTATTCTGCCACCGTTACCCAGAGAGCCCCAGGGGGCAAGACCTGGACGTGCCAACAGAGCCACTTCAGCTGGGAGACAGGCCTGTAGGTTTGCCAGCCGAGGGGAAGTTCACAAATTAAGAGCCAGGAGAGAGTGTCACAGCGCCTGTGCTCTCACTCCTCTGGCGCTCATTAGCTCAGGCAGAGCAGCTCAAATCCCTTGGAGAGAATTGCATTGGACATGGGAAGTTTGATTTCCACCAATTAAGAAAGCACTTTGTTTACCTAACCCCTGTGTACCGGTCCTGCAGAATAATAACTTTGCAACTTGTGGGGTGAACGGGGAGGAAAAAAGAAAAAAAAGCTGAAATAGAGCTCATTCATCTAAATCCAGCCCAGAATGGGATTTCTGCCTTCAGTGAAATTAAATGTAAGGTCATCACATTGGTAACCACAAGGCTCCACTGTGGTATGAGCTAGAATATCATTACACTTTCCAACCTTTAGTTCTCAGCACAGCCCCACATCTCAAGTTAAATGTCTTTAACACCTATGGAATTGTCCGTGAGTACCTCTGACCTCCAATGGGAGCTGACTAAAAGGTACTTATTAATCTACCTTGTATTAATTACAAAACACTATCCAGTGTGCATACCCCCCCCGCCCCCCCAAGGGTGTCTCTGCTAGTAATTAGCAAGCGTACTCTGAACAACCAGGGAGGTCTTCGCGATATTGAAGTGGACCCCCACGCTCCTGCCTTCAGAGCAGAGATGGATTGTGCGGCGAATACATTACTGAGGCCGCTCTTTTGATTTCAATACGACATTGACAATTAGAAAGAAAAGCAGTGGAACTTTCTCTTTTCTCCTTGAGAGTCTCCTGTCCCTCTCAGGCGTTACATGAGAGATAGAAGAGCTACTGTCAATTAAAACTTGGCGTGGTATGCAGTGAAAGGGAGAGAGAGAGGAAGAGGAATAGGCAAAGGGTGTCTAATTGGTCTTTGGTGCACAGCACAAACAGGGCCTTCAAAGTGGCGACGGCGAAGCTGCAGACATGAGATGAAAGTTTATGAAGATGTGTCAGAGCTACCAGTCGGAGGCAGGGTGACTCGCCGACAGTGGGGATTATCACGTTAAACTTCTGCTGCTGATGCTTCCGCTCGGTCGTGCCTCTTGTTTTCTGTCCGTCACTCTCTCAGTCTGTGTTTCACAATAACAGATGGCCAGTTTTAACCTGAGCGACAGATGATGCGCAGGTGATTCAAAATATGTGCCACGTGAAACCATGTGTGGTAGCCCTCAAACAATACACATTCTTGGATGTCTAATATTAATTCTCCCCTGTGAAGGCCAGTTCATTGCACATTACAAAACATGATATCACCCTAATGACATGGAGAGGAAGCTCTTGGAATCATCCAGTTTATTGTCTGGCACATGGTCCATGCAGATTCTCAGAAACTCAAGCCGGTGACAAAATTTTTACCTCAGACATGCGGATGTGGAAACCATGAATTGGCCTTAATTCTTTGCTCGTTGTTCTACTAGCTGACTGACTCCTCAGGGGGACAACGGGATACTTTTAAAGACACAGTGGAGTCCTTCAAAAGTCTTTTGAAAATGTACCATATGAAGGGTTTCTGTCTTAAGTCTTTGAAGAGTCTCATCGGTATGTTATTCAGAAGACAGACGCTGCTGTTTCTTTTGTATCACCTGTCCATATTGCCATGTAGGTCTTAAGGGCTGCTGTAAAACTCTCTGATGTCTGTGATGACAGATGGGGACAGAGCAAAGACCTGAAATGGAAAATTTAGAACAGGTGGTTGTCTAACTCTCTTGTTGAGTTAGTGTTTCAGTCCCCTAGAACTCCAATATGACGGTAACCTTACAACGCAATGTTTTTGTGCAGGTGTGATTTCACTCTTCTGCCTGACAACACCAGCAATAAATATTTATTACGAAAAACAGAATTTTCTGACTGGAAAAAAAAAAATCCGGAACCACTCATCTTTCTCTCAGCTGGGAAGGGCGCCATCTTTTTCCCCGAGTTTGTGGGTGTACGGCGTGCATGTGGTGAGGGTGACGTTGCATCTCCAGGTGTGATTGATTTGGTACAATGTTCCTAACTAGAGGGTGATTATTCAAACGGCTGCAAGTTCAGTGAAATGAAATAAGACAACATTCCTCTTTCACTTTGTCATTTTTTTTTTTGTTACAGTCGTGCACAAAAGATGCCCGTAGTTGGTTACCGTTGCAAACACTTGTGGTAAAAGAGACGACAAGAAGTAGTCTGACATGTTCATCGTTTTTGTCGGCACAGATTCTCTGCCACTGTCGCTGTCAGTCTGCGCATTAAAAGAATGTGGAAATACATGAATTTATTTTCTCCCAATATGACTGAGGTGGAAAATTTGGTGCATCAGTAAAAGCAAAAGGCAGCAAAGTGCAATTGAAACAAACTAAGCAAATAAACCATGATGTACATGAATCATGTGACTTGAAGTCCACTGAAGAGACTACAAGTAGCAGCCGATGAAAACATCAGATGTGTGCGGAGCGATGAGGAGAGGCCGTACTTCCATTATGTTTTTTACATTGTTTTTCAACATTTGAGGTTCGACTGGTTCTCTGTTAATCACCTCCTCCTGTTGCACAGTTCTTCTTCTGCAGTAGAAGAAGAACTTGAGTAGTTCATTTCAATGGAGACACCTAAAGACACTTGACGCAGGATAAAACAAGCAGTTATCCCATGTTTTTTTTCCCCCGCATCAGTCGCAATAAAATATTATCGGGTTGATCTTTTCTAGTTTGATTCCAGCAATAAATCTATATATTAATGACATGAAAACCAATTACTTTTAATGCTAAAAGTTCTATATGTTTTTTGTGTCATTGTGTTCAGCTGAGGGGTCTCCGCACAGTATCATGAATGAAACAGATTGATGTTGCTGTACCTACTACACTATGGCTTATTCTACTACAACATGCTGTTTATGTATTCACCAGTGTCCTGATCCCAGCCTCAAATTCATTTAGGCTGCGAGCGAGTCTATTGCCAAGGACACCAAGCTCGCAATTTATTCTGATTAAGCTCAGCAACACCATAATAGAATATTAACACTTGAAGCCGCTCAGTCAACGAGTTGAAAATACATTCTTAGTTATTGCCCTGTGAGTCACTGATAGCATCCGCAGGTGAGTATGCACAGAGAAACGGGCCCTTGGATTTCTCCCACATACTGGCCCTGATGACGCTCATGAAAAGGACAGTCATCTTTTGTTCTTGGGAGTATCACTCTATCACCTAATAGAATTCCCCAGCAGTCAATAAAATGGATGAATTATGCATGTCGGCCAGCAACAGGGAATTGACAGAGCATGTAAATCAACCCTCCTCCAAAGCCTTCAAGCCATCCGTCTCCTCTGCTCCTTGTCTTCTCGCCTTCATTTAAATATGATTGTGTATATTGCATTTACTTGTGTATGAAGGGAGAAGCATGGTCTGGGAAATTTGTTTGCAATTGGACTATTATTGTACTGCAGTGTAACCCTCTCACACATATGTCTTGGATACACACACACACACACACACACCACCTTATTCACTTTGTTGGCGAAAGAGGGGAAAATGAATTCACACATTTACACACATATACTGTATATAAATTCATAGGCAGACTTCATGGGAAGAGTTCATTTCAGTGAGCCACCACGGGAGCCCAAGGAAACACGATGGAAATTAAAAATGGCTTTTTACCCTGTTGTCCATTCCATAGTACATGACCGAGGGTTTAAATGAAACTGCTAGTTTTACCTCAGAAAACTGAATATCATCAAACCTAATGCTGAATAAACAACGCAAAACAACAAAACCAGCACAGCGTTTTAAAATCCCACCCTCTCCTTTTTTCTTCCCAGCTTGATATTCCTTCAGTGTACACTCTTTAATGATCAGTCTTGGTGATTATGTCCTAATGTCCAATTAAAAAAGAAGATGCATAGATAAAAGAAGAGTAATGATCTTTGCTGTTAGTATGAAGTTGTAAGCCTTATGATTTCATCCCTAGTTGATTTGGCAATACCTTTCGGTTACTGCTGGGAGCATCAAGTGTGTTTTAATGCTGGTAATGCAGATCCCAGAGCTGTGCTTGCAATGACACATCTATCAACCGCTGGCGACAGCAGGCAATTCCAGTTATAAGTTGTATCAAAAATGGGGTTAGATGTCATGAAATTCTTTCTTTATATATCGCCGTGATTCATTGTTTAATTGCCGATTCACAACAGAAATTTTGCAGTAGGAACTCAAACAACCAGCACTTAATATATAATGGTTTGAAGATTTCTATAGCTCTGACGATGCTGCGTGCACTCACAGAATAACTGATCCTACTTATCTTGAAAATGCAGCATGGCTGTGCAAATGCCATTTAAATTTTCATCGAAGCTAGCAGTCCCTCAGATGCAGTCTTCCATAATTGTTTTGTGTGAAGTCATAAAGTGACACTCAGAACTTTAACCTACTTAATTTCCTACATCCTTTTGAGTGCAATTACATCGTTTACACCCACAGCCCACAACCCACCAACTGATGTCATTGATTTTTTTTAATTCCCAGTTTCTGTTTTCAGACCAATTTTAAGACGTTCTGTATCACCCTGCTTTTTTCATGTTGCTTTTAAACAG